GCCATCAGGTTGTGGACAATTGTAAATTATTGAGGACAATTGCTGTGATTATTGGAGGAAAAAAATTAATGGTCTTGGTTATATTTATTAGGGAGGACTCCAGGCTGTAGGTTTTTGGGATTGGGACCTTTCTGCTGAATCTGAACAGCTTCCAGCCTGTGTTCCACAGTATAGAGCATGTCCCCAGAAGTCACAGCCTGCTACCCGTCTCCTTGTTGGAAGTGGCAGCATCCCAGGTCATTTCCCAAAGATAATTTCAGGCCCTGGCAAGTTTCCTTTGAAAACAGCCCAAGATGCACTTCACACCCTTGGCAATAAGTCAGGCAGTGGGTAGATAGTTTAGTCAGGCCTGGATGTTATATTAAGGGATCCTTCAGTGGCCCTTGGCATGGTCTTCTTGGAGTCTTTAACACTGTCACCTTGACTCCAACCCACAAAGGTGTTTGGGCTCCTACCTCCTGCCACAGTCCCATCCCCTCTGCCTCCATCTTGCCCAAAGGCCACAATGAAGGACTATTTCTGTTCCTCAGCTTCAGGCCAACCTGGCAGACACTCATTTCCCATCCCTGACACCATCCCTGGTGTCAGTGTGAATCCTGGACCTGGCTTCTAGTCAGCACTCTGCAGAGGAGAAGCCAGAAAAACCCAATGCCACCTTTAAGGCCATCGAGCTAAAGACAAGAGGGGCTGGTTTTGGCACCCACTTCTCACCAGGGTGCCAACAAGCATTGGGTGCAAAGAGATTGGTGCATCTTGAACATCACCTGAGCACCAGCAGTTGGGACACCAGAGCAACGTCTCTGCTTTGGGAGGTGGCAGCATCTGTGGGTGCTTCTTGGTGCATCTCCGAGCTCCTCATTCAGTTGTGTTTCTGCCATCAAGCTGTGAGATGATGAAGACAGAGACAGCAGTTGCCGGTTAGGAGTTACAAACGTCTCTTATTAAAGGTAGTGCGTAAGAAAGTCAAAGCTATTTTGCTAAAACCTGCCTGCAATCAGGCCAGGAGTTTGGCTGTAAGACCTCAAATAGTACAAGCTGTACCCATCCTGAGTTCTTCTCCCTGTCAACATGTGTATTTTGGACACCTCACTTTCCTCCCGCTCTCTATCTCATCGCTGTTTGGCCTGGCTTAAGTGTGGCATTTTTTTTTTTCCTCCCCAGCTGACCACAGGAGTTTGGGCTTGGCTGAACAGAGCTGATCTCTTCCATCCTGATGCCTTAGCAGTGGAAACAGCAAATATTTCCTTGTAGGATGTGCTCAGAATAAAGTCCGAGGCCTTAATAACCTGTGGTCCATCCAGAGGTGTTTTATAGACACCGATGAGGAAGCCGGTGAGCTGTCAGAGAAGATAAGAATCTGGCCTCTCATTTCCCTGTTGCTCAACTCCCAGCAGAGAAGGATACACAAATTAATCACCGTGCAGCTCTCAAAACTGTCCTGTTTTCCACTACTACATTATCACTGGTCCCTTATTTTCATGCAGCCCAGCACACTGTTTAAAAAAGCAGTGCTTTCATTAAAGACTTCCCCACAGTCGGGTCCCCCAGTCCTGTCTGCTTTGTTTACAAAGAATTACGGCCTTCTGGAAGCATATACTGCATGTGTGAGTCTCCGAGGCCTGAATACTATTCTGCAAGTAAATATATCACATTGGTACAGTCTTGGTTCCAGATAGTTAATGCTGAGGCCAGACTGGTGGGAAAATCAGCCGTACTTACTTTGTAGGAAATTTTCCCATTCAAATCCTTCCATTAGACTGTGACCAAAAGCAAAAGGGCTGGGAAAAGCTTGGGTTTCCAATTACTGTTTTTAAAAGGGAGAGAAAAAAAAAATTGGAAAAGGATCATTCTTCTTCTGGGCGCGCATTCTTATTGTGGCTGCAATGATACAACCTGGCTAAACTCCACTCCCTCCTCCTCTCTTTGCAACTTCGTCCCTGAATAAATGATACTTGGTTGCTGTTAATTGGGAGCAGCCAAAATAACTGAATCCTCCGGAGATCGGGGTGAGGACAGAATCTCAAATAGACACCCTGCCAATGAATGTGGCTTTCAGCCGTTCCTACGCCCCCACCAAGGAAAAGAATAGAAGCTCTGTGAAAGTGAAACAGCCAGTGCTGACCTTGGATTTCTTTTTCTTTCTTTCTTTTTTTTTCCCTCTCTTTTCTATCATTAATTACCCGCTGCTTTGTTCATCACATGACCACTGGAAACTGCCAACTTGCTCTCACTCGTTAGTGTCACAAGCTCTGTTTAAAATAAGCAGTCTACCAGGTTCTTAATTTAGTGCTGTTTATCTGCGCATCAGATGTGTTTCTTGTGATTTTGGACTATTATTTTGAAAGCGTCTGACCCTCCTTCAGCCCTTGAACACTGGCACTTTCCAGCTGCGTAACGGAAGAATCTCCCCCATTCGTAGCTGTTTGAGAGATGATCAGTGCTCAACCTCTCACTCGTTCTGCTCGAAGGTGAAGCTCAGTGTATACATCAAAGCTCAGGGTATACGTTGGACACTCTGCATCCTGGCACCAGCACCTGCAGTGCAGACCACTGCTGAGGAGCTGAGTGATGCCAGTTAGCCCTCACACCCACAGAAAACTACTTGGCCCATCTTATTTAGTAGTTTTAGGTAGTGCATAGTGCAGTATTAGGTACTGCATAGCCAAACTGTCTGTGTGCAATGGGCTATGGATCCCTACAGATCCACGGACTGTCCTGTGGGCCGTCTACAGATCCATGGACCATGTTTAAAGGGAAGCTGAGAGATAGTGAACCAAGGTCCAAGCTGCCATGCTTGGGTTGTCTCTCAATGTTGGGAGGGTAGAAAGCATATTACCACAGAATCAGAGAATGGTTGGGGTTGGAAGGGACCTCTAGAGATCATCTAGTCCAACCCCACTGCTCCAGCAGAGACACTGGAGCACGTGGCACAGGGTGGCATCCAAGCCGGTTTGGAAGATCTCCAGAGAAGGAGACTCCACAACCTCTCTGGGCAGCCTGTTCCAGTGCTCTGTCACCCTCACAGAAAAGAAGTTCTTCCTCATATGGAGATGGAACTTCCATCCTAGAGGGAGATGCACTTTTGCGGTCCTAGTAGTGCCAGGTGCCTTCATCTCCTGAGCAAAGAAACAACTTGGAGTGAGATTTAGGAGTCATCTTGGCTTTTCACCACTCCCAAGGGCTATGACTGCACACAGCCAGGCCCTGCAGACCCTCCTGGGAGAAACAAAACCTCTGTGGACATGTGCAAAGTGAACACCCCCCCCCACCACCACCACCAGAAAAGGCGCTGCCTTCTGCCTGGTTTCACTGTAGCACCTTCAGCTTTATGAGTCTGTGTAGCTAAAATATCATTTGCATGGATCATCCTTCCCTTCTCCTCTCTGAAGTAAGGCAACTAGATCAAACTCGTCAGACAGATTCCCTCATGACAAACAAGGGAAATAAAATAAAAATAATAATAAATAGCCCCAAGAAGCTCTAAAGGTGAAAGCTTGGAAAGCGAAGGGAGAGAGAGAATTGGTTAGAACATGTTGCCACTCTTAGTTATGACAACCCCCATCTGCTAGAATAAGGAAGTGACATGAAAATATTTTGCATGTTGGCAGAGACTTTGGGTTGCTGGAGGAAGTGAGACTTGGAACTGTTCTGACTTTGGTTTTTGTGGTACCTCATCCTGAGGCTGTTTGACAGGTCCCATCTCCCTGTTTAACTATCTCTTGGTGTTTAACACCTTCCCACCCTCTGTATCACCTAGTCAGGAGACACTAGGAGCTGCTCCGGGTCAGACCAGCTTCCTGTCACGCACCCACCTCAACTCTTCCTGTGTCTCACGCAGCTCTGGCAGCAGCTGTATCTGATGCTACAGAAGAGAAATAGGCAGTTTTCCACACTCAGAATACTCATTCGCATTTACTTATCCATCCATTATCCACTGCAGTTCTGGCTCTTAGGAGTCAGCCCCGATTCTGCACACTTGCATGTGTGACACAAATAACCACAGCCCTGCAGAGTCTGGTGGGATTTCATCAGAATCACGTTCAATTCCTTAAGTTCAAGCATGGGTGTCTGTGTGAGGATTTCATCACACCTTTTCTGGTAGGGCATAAGTGCTAGCAGGTAAGAAAGATATCTGGGCTGGAAAGGAAACAGATTATTGGGTAAGAATATAATGCTGTGAGCTTTTAATTGACCTCCAGCTATTAGGGATTCAGATGGGAGCCTTGCATCCAGGCACGCGTAAAAACAGGAAGGAGGGTCCCTGTCCGGCATCCCCGTGGTCCTTCACAAGGCTGTGATGCTGTGCCCAAATAGCAGCCAGCTGTGATGAAGAGCCCATCTTTTCTCCATCAGCTCCCATTCCTACTGTCTCTTGCACATGCAGGATGAAGGGATGAGGGCTGCAGATTTGAGACTGTGGGCTTCTCCCCTTCTCCCCCTCCTCACTCCCTGCAGCAGCCCTGGGCATGCACCCCCTGTGCAAGTTGTGTCGCAGGGGAGCCTGGTTTATTTGCAGCCTCCATTATTTGGCTGAAATCCTTCTTTCTTCACTCAACTTCACAAAGGCAAGTTATTCCTTAGATGAGCAATTACACCTGAGTTTTGTCCTTGAGCAGTTTGTGCTAGTTTGTCCCCTCCGCAAATCATTGACTCTGTTCCTTTTCTTGGCATGTGACTGCCTCGTGCACCACCTTGCTGGCAGCCACTGGGCTCAGGTAATTCCTGAGCACCCTCCAAGATAGTTGCTCAATGATGTAGGGGAAGAAGAGCAGGTCTGTGACACTCCTCTGTCCATCTGACAGCCATAAGTGCAGGGCCCAGGCCCTGCCATCCTCCTCCATCCTGATTTTGGGCCTGCCCAGTCCAGAAAAGACCCTTGACTCTAAGGACATGACCAGCATCCCGATAACTCCATGGCTCACCGCAGCCAGGGAATGCAGTGCGCTCTTTTCTGACGCATCATCATTAACAATTCCTCCTTCTCCTCTCCCTCTAGGGCACAAAGACCACGTTCCCCAGAGCCGAGCTCCCAGCCGCGACACGTAGCGCGATGACAGCCATCCTGGAGCGGATCAGCACGCTGTCCCTCAGTGGGCAGCAGCTCAGTCGCCTCCCCAAGCTGCTGGAAGACGGATTCCCGAAGATGCCTTGCACTGTCAAAGAGTGCGAGGTGCCACAGCTCTTCCGGGAGCCATACATCCACACTGGGTACCGTCCCACTGGCCAGGAGTGGAGGTACTACTTCCTTAGCCTCTTCCAAAAGCACAATGAGGTAGTCAACGTGTGGACTCATCTCCTGGCAGCTCTGGCCGTCCTGCTGAGATTCAAGACGTTTGTGGAGGCTGAGCAGTTACCAGTAGATGCGTGGTCCTTGCCTTTGCTCATCTTTGTCCTGTCCTCTGTCACCTACCTGACCTGCAGCCTCCTGGCCCACCTTCTGCAGTCCAAATCAGAGCTGTATCACTACACCTTCTACTTCATGGACTACGTCGGGGTCAGCATCTACCAGTATGGTAGTGCCCTCGCCCATTTCTACTACAGCTCGGATCAGGCCTGGTACGACAAATTCTGGCTCTTCTTCCTCCCAGCAGCTGCTTTCTGTGGCTGGCTCTCGTGTGCTGGCTGCTGCTACGCCAAGTATCGGTACCGGCGGCCCTACCCCATCATGAGGAAGATGTGCCAGGTGATCCCAGCTGGGCTGGCATTCATCCTGGATATCAGTCCTGTGGCTCACCGGGTGGTCGTGTGTCACTTGGGAGGCTGTGAGGAAGATGCTGCTTGGTACCACACATATCAGATACTGTTTTTTCTTATCAGTGCTTATTTCTTCTCCTGCCCAGTTCCTGAGAAGTACTTCCCGGGATCCTGTGATATCGTTGGCCATGCTCACCAAATCTTTCACACATTCCTGGCCATTTGCACCCTCTCACAACTGGAGGCCATATTATTGGATTACAAGAACAGGCAGGAGATCTTCCTAAAGAGACACGGCCCTTTCTCCATCTATCTCACCTGTGGCTCTTTCTTTGGCCTGGTGGCTTGTAGTGCCATCACAGCTTACGTCCTGCAACGCAGGATCAAGGCCAGCCTGGCTAAAAAAGACTCCTGAGAGAGTCCCGAAGATGATGAGCGTGACATCACCTGGCTGGTGAAAACCAGGAGGAGGGGGATAATATATTAGGGACATAACTGGCTTGTTTGCCTAACACGCTCTGACTAACCTGGACCCTGTGGACTGGGGTGGAGGGCTGGATACTTCATTCTGGATACATTTTTGCAGCAAGGGCTGCCTTTTGCCGTGCAGGGGGACATGGGGTATTTTAAGCCAGAACAAGTCACTTAACCGAGGATGCTGGAACAGCAGAGGTTTCTTGTTCGTTCTAGAAAACCTGTAGGGAATATCATGCTGAATATCAGGAAAGGCAGCCTGAAGGCTGCGAGATGGGAAAGGACCTTAAGGATCATGGCTGAACGTGACTACCTGTCTGGGCTTTGCCACCTCCGCTGTGCTTGGAGGGATCTGTTACCATTGAAGGCAGTGGCTTCAGGGAGAGTCTACATTTCAAGAGTTCAGCTACATGTGTGGTGCAGTGGCTGGATTAGTCCTTTCTGCTCCAGTGGGTTAGGACAGGTTATCTCTACTTCTGCCCTTCTCAGTTTCTCACTGCCACGTAGCTGAGATGGCCCTGGTATACTTGCAGACCAAGCAGTCTCTACGATGAGTACTCTGTGATGAGCTGGGTCTGAACCTCAGCCCTGTGTCTGCTGGCAACTGGTGTGGATCTAGCCATTGCTGGCACAGATGGAGATAAGAGGTCAACTCTGTCTTCCCTTTCTACATGATTTCACCATTGATAGTAGAGCTACTTAAAAATAATAATAATAAAATAAAACAGCAAGTCAGACATTCCCCAAGAGAGAGAGCAGGATAGGCCCTTTCTCAGCAGAGATCCCATTCAGCATGTCCTATGTCCTATGTAACCTTAGGATGTGTTTGTCCTCGGGACCTGTGTTTCCCATGTGGAATAGCTATGATAGCTGGACAGGGACACTTCATGGTCGTGGGTCACTCCTGTCCAAGGTGTAGCGAGCGTTGACTTGCTGTGTCCCCAAGTAGACAAATCCCCTTTGTGCTTGTGGGAGCATGAGACTGAGGAGCCCCGTTGTTGCACTGACACTCTTAGCACTTTCAGGGCTGGATGCTCAGAATCGAAGCAGACACGTGGTCCCAAGCAGCCTAAACACCTGCTGCTCAGCCTGCTGCTGTCTTTCTATGACAGACCTTGGCACAGGTTCTCCCAGTTGTACCCTATGCAGGACCTGCAGCCTTACATGCCTTGACATCAGGCCGGTTTCCAGGAGCAAATCTTTCCTGAAAGCAAAGAAATTATGGGATCTACTCCAGCCACAGATTTGTCCCACTGAATCCACAGGCAAGCAAACGAATTGTGTTTGCTGGTACTGGGCAGGCAGAGTCTAGGGGCAGGGATGTGGTTGGTCATGACAAGCACTGACTTCTGCACTTGATCTGTTTTTTAACTACTGGAGTGTGTGTGTGTGTGTGTGTGTTTGTGCATGTGAGTGATTTAATATTCAGAAAGGCTTTGATTTTGGCTTTCATATCTGCAGAGCCTCCTAGCTGTAACAAGATCGGTCTGAAGGAAACAGTGCCTTGATGATGGAGGAGCAAGGAGGGGCTGAAAACAGGATATCTGAAAACTGATCTATTTGTTAGGTGGTTTGCTGTGTCATGTCTTGTGGACAAATCTGAAACTTGTGGCCTTATTGACAAGTTAAGTACAAAAGCAGGGGATTGTTTTTGATTACTGGAGATGAAGTCATAGGAAAGACTTTAAGAAGTCACGTAGTCCACCCCTTCTCCTCACTGTGCCTCTTCCTTCACAATTAGCCCATTTAGGAGCAGAAAATCTTGTTAATGGCTCAGTTGCCTACAGTATATTTTGACGGTACAACTATACTGACCTACCTACAGGGAAGGGAACAGTCCCAGTAACACCCTATCCCTCTTCCCTTGCGCAGAAACTCTTCTGACCTCAGAGTGAGCCAGTGCAGGGAGATGGACCTGCAGACAGCCAAACCTGATTGAAAAGAAAAGAAAAAAAAAAAAGAGTCACTAATTTTCTGCTGTTTTTAACTTTCAGCCAGCTCACTTGGGCAGCACCGCTGCCTGCAGGGAAGAGCTGGGTACGCAAGAGCTGCAAGCTGCAGCTCTTCCTTGCAACAGTGGTTGGTTGTTTGACTGGCTCAGCTGCACTGACAGACTCTCCCCTCCATGGTCCCCATGCCTTTCCTTGTGCTTCTGCTCCCGTTTTGGAGAACAATTTCCAGTGGGAATAATGTTTCTTCTCAAACCTCACTTGCCTTTATTTTTTTTTCTTTTGGATTTCAAAGCAGAATAAGCCACCAAATGTGGATTTGGCTGGATAGTGTTTATTTGCAGGAAGGGGAACAAGCCAGGTTGGTCCATCACTGCTTTCTGTGCTAAAACTGAGAAGGAGTGAGCATTGCTGCTAAAAACAAACCCTGCTGCTCAGCTACAGTTATAGTGGTCCTGAAGACAGGGATAACCAGGCCTTTCCTTCTCTAAAGGTTTGAAAATAGTTGACCTGTGCTGCCCTAGGTAAAGGAGGATAAACACAGTCTTGCCATTCAGTTCCTCTCACTGTGGAGAGGAGGTGCCTTATCGCTCTTCTGAGGTGAGAAGCTGCTCGGGCGGTTCTGGTCACCCCACATCATCCCCGAACTGGTCCAAGAGAAGTGAAACTTTTTCTTCTCCTTTTGGAACAATTGTGCACGTGATGGTGGTGGTGGTTTTACCTATTTCCGTGTTACCCCTTGGGTGATGCCACGTGTGTCCCCGGTGTGGCCCTGCGCTCAGACCTGGAGCTGACCTCCCGGTTACTATGATGGGCTGATTTCGCAGGGAATTGCAGCGTGGATCACTGCGGCTGTGCGGGTGTACCCTTGTGTCACACTGGAGCCTCCTCCATCCATGTCTCCTTCCTTCTCTTCCTGCAACCACTTTTATTTCTTTTCCTCACTCCAAGAATTTATCCTTGTGCCTTTCGCACCTGGCTGCCTACCTGTACAGACCCCACGTGCTCTGCAGGCTGTGGGGCTGGGACTGGGAGGTGGCTGCCGATGCCCTCCTGCAAGCTGTGCTGCTCCTCTAGGGGAGAAGATCGCCACTGAGGCCTGAGAGAGCAGAAATGCTGCTGTGACAGCTCCGGAAACATCCCCGGACCTGGCGCTTCGGGCTCCCGCCTGGAGCACATCTCCCATCCTGGTGTTCCTTGAAGGAGGCACGGCCGGGAGGGATGCGAGCGGCTGCAGGGCTTTGCGGAGAGGTGGCCACCAAAGGCCGAGCGCTTCTGAGGGAGGGTCATGAAGGGACCGACGTCCTAACGCTCTCCCACAGGAATCTCCAGTCCTGAGCAGCGTTTCGTGTAGCCCCGGGTCTGTACTGGTCGACTGAGAACTTATCCCAGTGTGCCTTATGCTGTTCCCTTTTGGGATTCATCCTGTGGGAACCGGAGGATTAAAGACAGCCTCTCAGCTACCTGCTGCTCGTGGTTGCTTTTAACCACTGGAACCCACTGGCAGAATCTGCTTGTTACAAGGCGGGGAGGATGGAAAGAGGTGCCTTAAACTTATATTTATGCTGTTTCATTTGTGCAACAGGGCAAGGACAGGCTCCACATGTGCCTTGCTATTTACATCCTTTACTGACAAGATTGTTTTTAAGCACTGTTTGTTACTAAATAAGTACAAAGGCGTTTGTATTTTTTTCCCTGGAAAACAGGGAAGGGTACGAATGTTTTGTATTAACCATTCCGTTCCTAACCCCTCCCCCCTTTGCTGATTTTGTATTGTTGAAAATATTGACCATATTTTAAGCTTTGTACTTTACTGATCATTATTTAAAAACCTCGGTGAAAATAGAAATGTGTAAAAACGAAATGACTGGTGTGCTGTGAAATCCAGAAAAGCAAAACCAGAGAAGGTTATGAGTCATTAGGAAGAAAAATTAGCCTTCGAGAGTAGGAGTGGATAATAATTATAATAACAATTAACAGTAAGGTGTGGTTGTATCTGTGCATCTCTGAGCATTTTCCAGGCTTCACAGTAACTATGTGATTATCATTCCCTTTTTCACAGAGGAGGTGCAGAATGACTGCCCTGACACTGATTACAGGGATTAAAGTTCATCATCCGATGAGCGATACCCTGTGAATTCCAGTCGCTTAAGAAATTTGCAATATTTCCTTCTGTAACCACCACATTGGCCATTTTAATTGTAATCCTGTGCAAGATGCAGACCACGGCTCAGGTTTTCTGCTGTTTTTGCCCACCAGAGGGCGAGATGCCTTCGCTTTGGGCCACAACTGGCCTGCAGTGCCACGAAAGCAGAGCCCTGGGCGCTGCTTTTCCAGACGGGCTTAGGAAAAAACGCTCCCATCCCAGCAGGCATCTAGCCAGCTCTGCAAAGACACGCGTTTCTGTACGCAAAAGCGACCGGGATTTCAGCAAACAAGCCCAAGTTTTACGTTTCCATAAAATAAGAACTCTAGAGGGATGGGAGAAAATGCCAGGCAGAACACTAGGGTTGTTAGCCTTTTTTTGAGCTAGAAATGAAAATAGGATTTTGTGGTATCCTGAGAAGAAAGTGCTTGGTGTTACTCTCTTAAAGGATGCATTTGTTGGACCCTCTTCGCTACTTAGTGTTACACACACACCCTTGATGTATGAAAAGATAGAGTTGATTATTTGCAGAAGAGAGAAACTGCCTATGCCAAGCACACGGAGCCAAATGCAAAAAGTAAAAGTGCTTCCAAAATGAGCAAAAGCGACCGGGATTTCAGCAAACAAGCCCAAGTTTTACGTTTCCATAAAATAAGAACTCTAGAGGGATGGGAGAAAATGCCAGGCAGAACACTAGGGTTGTTAGCCTTTTTTTGAGCTAGAAATGAAAATAGGATTTTGTGGTATCCTGAGAAGAAAGTGCTTGGTGTTACTCTCTTAAAGGATGCATTTGTTGGACCCTCTTCGCTACTTAGTGTTACACACACACCCTTGATGTATGAAAAGATAGAGTTGATTATTTGCAGAAGAGAGAAACTGCCTATGCCAAGCACACGGAGCCAAATGCAAAAAGTAAAAGTGCTTCCAAATGAGAGGAAAAAGAAAAAAAAAGAGAGAAAGAAAGAAAGAAAGAAAGAGAGAAAGAAAGAGAGAGAGAAAGAGAGAAAGAGAGAAAGAGAGAGAGAAAGAGAGAGAGAGAGAGAGAAAAAGAAAAAGAAAGAGAAAGAAAGAGAAAGAAAGAGAAAGAAAAAGAAAGAAAGAAAGAGAAAGAAAGAGAAAGAGAAAGAAAGAGAAAGAAAGAGAAAGAAAGAGAAAGAAAGAAAGAAAGAAAGAGAAAGAAAGAGAAAGAAAGAGAAAGAAAGAGAAAGAAAGAGAGAAAGAAAGAAAGAGAGAGAGAGAAAGAGAGAAAGAGAGAGAGAAGGAAGAAAGAAAAGCACTTTGTTTCAGTCATTTCAGATGTTATGAGATGAGGAGAGGAACCAGATATTTCAGCAGCGAGTTGCCTCGGAAGCAAGACCTTGATGTGGTTGTTTAACCAAATGACAAGCTTTATTTGGTCTTATCCCTGCAGCTCTCTGATAACGTTGTCTCAGCGGCAGAGCGTTGCCAAACGGCTCCAAGTTGGAGGCTGCCTCCTGCGTTCTGCAAAGCAGCCTTCGGAGATGCTCCGAGTGAGGTCAAGGGAAGAATTATTCACAATATTTGGACTTCAGAGAGAGAAGTGGAGGCGCAGCAGCTCTGGAAAGCAGCATCGTACACGCTTTCCCTTCACGCTTGCTGCCTTCTGTGCTCCCAAAGTCTGCATCTGCATCCTCTATCTCATAGCTCCGTGTTTTGTTCTGGTTAACACTCACTGGTCATAGCAAGCAGTGTGGGGCAGCAGTGGGATCTGTGAATCCCTCAGCCTTTCACAAGGCACATGGACACTGAAGTAGCAGATTTGAGCCCCCAGAGAGGAAACCTGTGTTTCTCATTCCCCTTAGGGACCACTGGAAACAGCCCCTGCATTGCCAGAGCTCCTCAGGCCTCCTGAGGCATCACCCACCCCTCTTGCAGCACGGGGCTTAGATTTGGTTATTTCCATGCATTATGGCAGTGTATTTATACACCTCATAGCACCAGTCCAGTTCCTTATTCCCCATTTCTCCTCTCTCCTGCTACTAAGTCCCCAAGAAAGCATCAGTTCTCACATGGAACTCTCCGTTCCCCTTCTCCCTAAGACACCCGGGAAGAAAGCACCAGGACACAGACCTCCTGATCCTCCGCGATGCGTTAAACATTTAAACACCCCATTAAATGTTAAAACGCGCGCAGGGCCCTGACGCCCCCGCGGCCCG